CTGGTAGGTAGTTATATTTATTATATAAGCGTATAATATTATATTCTTTAAATGTTAGATATTCTGTCAATATTATAATGTATTTTACTTATAACCACTATAGTATACCATCTTAAATAGTGCTTATAACCAATTATTTGTGCTCCTCCAACACAAGCTTTGCTTACCAGGGATGCTGCAATATTGTGCACATAAATGTAATTTTGATGTGAAAAATTTTGATGTTGCAATAAACTTATTATTATTATTATTATTATTATTAAATTGCTGTATACTATTTATGTAATTATAAGTATTAAATAATAACAGATTTTTACATTTATTACGCAATGTTAACATTTTAAAATTAAATTTTACACTTGGACGTTTGCCATAAAAATAAAATATTTCTATGTACCAACGTAAAATATATCGACTGCTTATAATATCTCAGATATTACTATTAAACTTAATAAAAAAATAAAAAATTTTACTTACCTCCTAGTGATAGAATTATAAAAAACCACGTAAATAATTATTAAAAAAGTCATTATTTATTATTGTATTCATCTCAGTGTCAGTTTGAAATAAATATTCACATGTAGCAAGTACCTAGTTATGAATAAAATTATAAAATAAGTGCGAATTATACATAAATTTATTATAGGTAGGTACCTAGTATTTTTCTGATAGTAGAATATTTATATCCTGATTTATTTTAATTAATTAGTGATTCCCTACGCTTATACTATTCTTGAATCTAGTGGGTCCAAACGGAGGAATTTGTTTTAATTTGTATAATAATAAACATCTGATAAATTTCATTTCATCTTTTACATTGACATTATTTATAAAATGTACCAACCAATAATCTTAAATACCACTCACAAATTAATAAATACGGCCAAAGAGTTAAGAATGTATGCTTTAATAAAATTTGCTGTACACATTTTACTTTTTTGTTGTTATACGAATTTATAATAGATGGATTCGGTGTATTATTAAGTAAAATAGTACTGATACAGTTGCTCTTATATGGTTGATATTTTTATATCGTAATTATTACACATTAGTCACATAGTTTTTACACTTTTTGCAACATCTTCTCTTAGCATTTCGTGATTAAATTTTGTCTGACTCGACAAATAGGGTTAAGGTGTCTATAGTCCATATATATAGCTAGTATACTTCCATTTGTTAATAACATATATCCTTGTTTATTTCCTTTCCTTCAACTCTTCTACTTTTATTCAATGAACAAGCGTGTACAAACTCGCATGAACACCACAAAAACGCTCAGGAATGTGTCGTGTCGTCCATTACGTACACAGTATCCAAATTGAGGCCAATCGAAAAAAATATTGACTGCGTTTCTTTCTGTCGTTTCTTGGTTCAATTTGCTGTTAATATGAGTTTTCGAATGCATATCGTATGATGAAAATAACATATCCATATATTTTCTTGCATTACAACGTATAATTGTAATCAGAATTATTATTGTTACTATTTTTATTGACATTAAAAAATTGAATAACTTAATACTAAAAATTCTATATGAAACATAAAATATTCATTGTATCGTTTATAAAAAAAAAAATAGGTAGACTATCAGTTGTTATGTACATAATATAGATGAAATGCTTCACTAAAAATTTACCTAATTTTACCTTAATAAGCTGTGTTTGTTTCAGAATGTGTACGGATATCTTCCAAATTGTACCATTTTTGATTCATTATGTGAAATAAACAATAATTGTGTTTCAAGGAAATTCTAGAATAAATTATACCTACATGATATGTGATGTCATTAACTGTAGGCTGTAGCTTATAGTTTCATAAATAATCGTTAGCAATAACCCATAAAATTAACAATAGTCTAGCGCGAAACTTCAGGTTGATTTAATTAACTTCGGTCATATGTTTTAAAAACAAACGATTTTTAAACAAACATCAGAGCATTATAAAGTGTATTTTACATCTAATTATTAATTGGCGGGGATTCGCTTTGAAATTCCATCGTACGCTGATTACAATTATTATAATCCCAGGTGTATATGAATTCATATAAACCTGCTGCCGCTTTCACATTGGAACGATGACAAATATATTACTGATTTAAAAAAAAAAAAACTTTACAAAACATTATGACAAGAAACTTCCGGTTCATTCGGTAATTGATAATTGTTTAGCTATTAAACCTATAAGGAGTCTTATGAATTTCCATACGTGTTTATGTATTTTTTATTTATGTGTAATATTTAACTAGTATAGCTTTATTCATAAAATAATAATTTTCCACCAACCTATATTTTAGCCTTTAGGACTAAATAATATTCAATTATACAACATTTTTTAAAAATTATTGTAATACTTTTGAAAATGCATTGTTTTAATGGATTTTAAAATTACTTACTCATAGAATATGTATTATGAATCGCAGATTAACCTACAATCTACCCAACTGTCTTAATAAATTGGACAGTCCTCATATTTTTTATTTTTAGTATTGTGTACGTTGAATTCTGAGTTAGTTAACTTATAATAGGTAATAATAATTAGTTAGCATATATTTTTCAATTGTTTATTTGAATCGTATTAGTACTATGTGTATTTTTATAGCAAATAAAAAAAATGTCCAATATACATAATTATGTAAAAAAAAAAAATTAATAAAAAATGTATTGGGTACAATAAACTGTTGACTGAAAATTTGCAAAAAGTACTTAGCACCAAGTGGTGAGGCGGTTGAACTTCGTTTCGCTATGGCCTTGCGGTTGGAGTATATGTAATTATTTCGAGCGATATGTCCGGACATGCACCGATTATTGCCTGACAGCGTTAGAAAGCGCAAAAATGAGTTTTAAAATATTATATATTTTAAGAAAGTAAACTTTTAAATTTAAATTATAGAATCTAATTTGGTATAATTAAATTATTTTTAGTATGGTTTTAAATTATTTTAATTGGTGTACAATGTTTTTTGCATATGTTGATTTTTAATTTAGAATAGAGCTGGTTGAAACTTTAAGAAGTCGAAATGTCTTTGTAAATGTATTTATAGTTTTGTAATCGAACTTGAGTGGTAGTATGGTACTTATACTCTGTCCGACGAAAATCAGTACTTCTGTGCATTCTTCTCGACACCCTGCAGCATGCGCCATAGTATAACTGGTCTCTACGACAAGGTGTAGCTCGGGGGATGCACTGAATTTGAGTGTTCTCTCGACGGACAGAGTATATAAAGGTAATTTTTTGAATTCCAAAAATTTTGCAAAAAACTGTCAAAATAAATAAATAATGTTTTGCTTAAAATCGTTTTATTATTGTAATGATTTATGATATGTATCTGGGCACAGACGTACAGTGTATAAATATCTACTGGTTTTGGGTTGTGACATAGAGTAAAGAATAATATATTTTTTGGTATCCTTTAATATCCTGTATAAGTTGTAATAAATTATAAACTTCAATATTTTCTGTATACTTTATTAAGTACTTAAAAAGTAGAGTTAATACTTAATAGGAATAATATATTTTATAGTACCTAGGTATTTGTATTTCGTATACATTTCCTCAAAGAAAGTTGTTTCAAGTAATTTTTAACCTGAAAAAAAGTATCACATTTATAGACTTGAAAGTGTCTCACATATAATGTTTGCTCGTATCAATGAAAAAACTAAAATATTTACAAAGATATAAAAGTGCCAGAAACCACTATGACGAACGGCGACTGTAGTTTGCAGATAGTTTGAGAGTTGAAGCAATAAATACCAAAATTATAAACGTTATGATTATTATTACGAGTATAGTAATGAGTACCTATTAACAGTATTTTAGCTTTTTGGAGGTGCAAACTAAAAATCTCGTTTTTTATGCTGAAATACAAATATAAATGCTTGTATTTAAACGTGTTTTTAATTTAGCTTAACTAAAGACTAAGTTAAAATGCAGAAGAGCTCACTTTCTTATTTCAATATATACACATACACCTATAATAGAAACCTGAAAGTCTAAATAAATACCAAACTAGATAACCGGTCTTATTCTACGCTTAATATATTTATTTTCTTCGTATTTGACGTATAATAATACGTAATGCTTAAGTAGCACACGGGTGTGCTTAGCATTATCTCAATCCACCTAATATCGTTATGAGTAATTTGAACTACGTATTAAATAATATTCATGTGTTTCATATAAAATTGCATAACTGGAATTTTTAGAGTTTTGAATTTATAATTCCTATAGTTATAATCAATACATTATAAAACAACTTCCGTCTTTATAATTAAGACATGGTTAGGATTTTAGGTATAGAGAATAAATAAAAGATCAAAGAAGAACAATTCAGATATATATTGAACTTTTCAACATAAGTATGAGTATTTATGTCCTTCAGCACAAAATAACCAACTACCTTATTAGGTATTATGAAAAGAATATTATTTAATAATTTCTAAATTGATTTCCACTTTAAACTTTTAATTTTTAACGAAAGGTGTCGTTTTTAATAATTTTTATTTCAACATTTAATATATCGGCTAAAGTTAAATAAAATCTAAATCTAATATATTAATATGTTGTATATCTATTTAGGAAGGTACCATATTATGTTTTATGAACATATACAATTTATTTTTTTTTAAATTGTGTATTTTTCAAATCTCAAAAGATAAAACAATTTTATTTGGTAACAACACTAATACAGAAACCCTAACTCCCCTGGGATCGAAATTTCTATGCGATTAATAATATGTATTTCGGTCGTGTCCCACATACCCAGGACGATGATGAGGGGGCCAAATGCCTGCAGGATGGAAAGTATATACATATATATATATGTGTGTGTGTGTGTGTGTGTGTGATAGAAAACCGGTCGTATGGTCATTAAAAAAATATAAGTGCATTCGCATTTGAATACATCTCTTCAAATATATGGGCGTTACAAATATTCACAAATATTTTTTTAAATATAAGAAAAAAAATTTAAAATTAATAGATGAAAACTAATTTTTTTACAGAAACAGTTAAACCGAATCAGATCAGATCACCAGAGGAATCATTGTCGACGTTTTACTACTTTACAAGACACAGATACAGATTCACTGTCTTCTATCGACCCATACAGACTGTTAGATGACGACCTCAGAGATGTATACACAGACATCACACGGGTTTGTGATATTTTAATATTATACTTCTAGTAAGACTGGAGAGTAAAGTTATTAAGACATTTTGAGACTAAATATTATTAATGTACAGCATCATTGAAAATTAAATCACGCAGGTCATCTATATAAAAACTAAAACTAAAAATTGATTCTATAAAAGTTATAAAATATAAATTTATTTATTTTACCTGAAAATTATTTTTATTTAAGTATAAGAAATTAATGCTTAATTTTAGTTTTAATATTATGCAGCATTATATAACTCTAATATATTGATCGTTTTGAACATAATTCAATCATATAAATAAATATTTGATGAATATTTTAGAGGTTGGGCACATCTATTATGATATAATTTATAACATATATGTATAAAAAAACTTTCACTTATTTTGGTTTATATTAATAGTTATAAGCTTGTATAGTTTTAATCATTAATAATTCCTCACATTCCACAATAAACTGTATACCTAATGGAATTAGTCGCCGTTGTTTATACATATTTAAATTAAATATATTATGCATATAATACGTATATATTATAGGCCTACCTACAATTATCTGTATTTAATGTGTTCAAAATGTATAATAATAATAATCGGCAAAGAATTTAAATATTAAAAAAATAATTTTTGTGATTTTTTATCTAGGAACTCGAACTGAACACTAATCAAGATGAGCTACGGACGATAGCTACATATTACTTCGATGGGCAAGGAAAAGCCCTTAGGCCTATGGTGGCTATCCTGATGGCTCATGCCATAAATTACCACATGAACAATAAGTAAGTTAGCATATTTTAATTTATCAACAATAATGAAAATGATATCTCAAATTCTTATTTGCCGTGATAGTGAAAATGTGAACAAAAAGTAGATCAAAGTATGTTTATACGGATAGAACTGTACAACGACTGGTTGACATAAACTTACGCAGGAAGATATCAAGGATATCAAAACTGGTTATAGTTCATGTAACCTAGATGTCTTACTTACATTCTTGTCCAATTCTTATGTACACATTTTTATTTCCAAAATTTAAATGAAAAAACTGTTTTCATTAACTTTTGATATTATATATTTTTATACTCTATAACATTTAAATTTTGTAACACAAAATATGCAAACCAATTATTATAAAATAACAATTCATATTTTTTTAAAAATGTAATTATGGAGCATATATTCACTAATATATGATTACTAAATCCTACCAATTACTGTAGATGACAATGCGCAACAATACCATATCAAGATGCCATACAAAAATATCCAATATTGTAAATATAAGTTGCGTATATTAGCCCCTTTATATAACAATTAATTATTTTAACTATCGTATTGAATTACGTGATAAATGATATAAGCATAGATTGTTTCTAATTAACATTATTTTTTGAATACTTCGTTATTCTAACACTAAACGTCTAAACGGCTAGAAATATATATTGCAAAAAAGCACATAGACAATTCATATTCATAACCACCGTGCTTATAGGCAACCACATGGTTTTTGTGGGGCGAGACAGTCTTGTGTTGTGGCCGCGAGTGTCGCGTATTGACATTCATAGTATTTGATACTAACCTATATACACTAATCAAATGTGATATATTATGTATGTTATGAAATAACCTTAGTATCTAATCATTATTTATTATATTCTTGGAAATTGTGCGTTAACAATTATAATGGTTTTAACCTTTTTTGGAAATTTTAATTTTAAATTAAATGTTGTTGATAAATTTAGACTTTGTTAAACTAAGTTTAAAATGTCGTATATTATAGTACTTACGGTATTCTTACGGTTACAGTGGTTTGGACAAAAAACAAAGAGAAGTAGCTATGATTGCAGAAATGATCCATTCTGCATCACTAATTCACGATGATGTCATTGATCAATCAGACTTTCGACGGGGAAAGCCGAGTGTAAACGCACTTTGGAGTCACAAAAAAGTAAGTACCTAACACATTTTTTCTGACTTTTTTGGTATCGGTGTTAAAATCGATATCCTTTATCTTTACCATATTTTACGCATTATATTTATTATTTAATAACAATTAACAAAATTATAAATATCAAATATTAAATTGTTATAAAATATGAAAATAAAAAATAATTCTACTGATTCTCGTCTGACTACAAATGCTTAAGAGTTATCTTACTATGATATTTTTTTAAATGTCCCTATTTTATAATTGTCTAAAATTGAAAGAAAAATAGTCGTCATGCATTTCAAATATTTTCAAAAACTATAAACATTTCTTAGTAGCCAGTGTTTCGCGTTAATTCAGTCACCTAGTGTATATAGATGGTACTTCGAAAGTAAGTACGTTTCCAGTCTATTAAAAGAATTGTTAGACCTTGATCGTAACTATAAGGTAACAATCAGAGAAACAAATACCTCACGACATGGAGGTAGGTAGTGACAAAAAAAACGACGTTAGATCTAAAAGAAGTTCATCTTTTATTTTAAAACTGTATAACTTCGAATACTAATAATTTTAACAATTCTAAAGAAAATCATATTGAAATATATCTCATATTCAACATACTTTTATGGATATATTATAGTTGTGTTATTTATCCCTTTAAATTTAGCTTATAAGAATGGCATTATGTAGTTCTCTAGTGTATCTAATGTTGGTTACCTAATGTTGTATTACATTATTCATCCTATAATTTTTTTAATTAATATATTCACGTATGCGTATATAATTCCACGCTTCTGTTATTCAATTGGGTTTGTATCTAATAAATATCAATGTGTACTGATGAATAATGATATACCATAACACTGACCTTGACCCCCAGTAACGGTTATAGTTTTACCTCAAAATAATACAGACAAATTACTCGTCGTATGTATGTAGAACAATTTTAAAACCTTTTGAAGTACCTACTATTTCACTGTCACCTATACATATTATATTATATACTCCACTGACTATTAAGAAGAGGTCACATATTAACATATTGTTATTATTATTACTCCTTAAAAATGGTACCCATGTGGTAAACAAATGGCGAAAACTGTTATTTTAGTAAACTTATGTATCAAACATTTATGAAAGTCTTAAAATTGTGTAATGTGACGTTCGAACCAAAAGAGTAATTACTATCAATTAGTACTGGGTATGATTGTATTAATTGAATTCTATCTCACTGATAAATTTTCAGACGTTATAAAACGTTGAGCTATTATAATACCTGATCTTTATTATATTATTCTAAAAATAAACAATCGCTATTGTATTATAATTATTTTGCTGTTTTATTTTATATTGTTTTTTTTTCGAAGTATCCATCAGTTCTTAGATAGTTTTAGAGATTATATTACTATGTATTATATATTTTTAAAAATTCACATGAGCTGATTTTTGATAACGCAGTCATAGAACTGTGTGTGTTCTATAAAAAAAAAAAGATGCACCGCGTTCGGGTCGTGTCCAATACGGAATGTAATAAGTTAGGTACGATGTGTATAGTCGTCACGTATTGGTGACAAGTGTCGACAATGATGATTATAATACCTCTAACAACAACAACGAAGACTATATTATTATAATGTATAGGCGGTACATTGTACATCGCGGTGAGATGATGGTAATTAAATCCGACGCGGCGCCGGTGACCATTAACCAACCCGACTGAGACCGATATATCGATGAATGAAGAAGGTTTGGCACCGTGGGTTTATACTTTCACTGTATAATATAGGCAGGCAGGCAGACAGGTATAATAAGGTACTGGTAGGTACGCGCGGAGACCCACTTATTACGCGCGCTTCTAGCCGCTGCGGCGGAGATGTCTGGTCGCGGAATACCGCGCACACGGGTATCGATCAATTTCACTCAAGCAACCCGACAAACGCACACAGTTCTCGAAAGCGGTCTTTTATAAGAAAGTCGCGTGCAGGATGTCTGTATTTTGTTGTTTTTTTTTCGTATCTCGTCAATATAGTATACCATAAACGCCAGTCGTCGCGGTAATAAATATATAAATTATGTTATGTAGTCTGCAGGTTCTCGTCGCCGCCACGATTAGCTGAACTTGTCGATCTCTATGGGAAAACGCAGAAAGAGAAAAAAGGGGAGGGAGAGAGATAAAAAATCGAAAATGTCAACCGGACAAGTTTGACCCGTGGCCCACATGCAACGTCTTCCACGTGATAAAGGGCAAGGTCGTCGGTATTGGTTGGCGCACGGTAGTCACTATTATAGCTGCGTACCGTCGGCGCGTGAATGGTACGTTGGCACTGTTGCGAGTTGCATCATCCGCATATAATATCCTCTAAATTATAATATATACAGCAAATTCCTTCTGTGCACCAACAGGACTATCAGGACTGCAGTCTTGAATTTATTATTATTACGACTTGTCGGTAGAAAAAAATTGTGTTTTGTTCTCTCTCTCTCTCTCTCTCTCTCTCTCTCTGTCTCTTTTTCCCCTCTTCTCGAAAATATCGTACGATATAATATAATATTATTCTTGGCCCTGTATGTGCGTTTTGTGTGTCGGTGGCAACGTGTATATAGAGAAAGTTCAACGCGTGCGTAGGCAGCCTGTATACTGTATAGTTAGGAGTATGCGTCGTGTACTCGTGTGTGTTTCACAATTAGACGCTTGTTCCGGAAGACCTTTCACGCAATGTGTAAACAACAAATTTGTATCTATATATATATAGACACACATTAATAAATAATACTATGATGCTTGCACTGTCGTCCAAATTTAGAGAGTCCGATCGATTCTCGGACACTATGTTTGTAATTGTGACAAAACTCCCGGGAACCGAACAGGCAAAGATCCGGTTTCCAGATAAATTATAGTAGGTATAACAGGAAGGGCTGGCGTGTAAAAAACCGGTGAGAGCGAGACGTGATTGACCGTTTAAATATTTTACTAGTTTTAACATTAAACGAGATACCAACCTCAAATTGTCGATTTGATTATTAGACGATAAATACTATTTTAAAATGTTGTAAATGTTAGTGGTTTACTAAGGTGGTTTCGTTCAAATACCTAGCGAAATTTTGTTCTCGTATTTTATTTCTTTTTAAATAATTTTTTTTTTCAACCTAAATACCTTGAAATATTTTTTTTGGAATAACAGATATTATAAGATCAATATCCTGTGTAGTTGTTTATCTTATTTCATTGAATATATTAAATAAATTCTTCCACTTTAAATTCTTATGAACAATTAATCACAAATCTCTTAATAATACATTTCCCATAGGTACCAACTATTAAATTTAATTAGGTAATTAATTACAAACAGGTAAAATACAGTTGCATAATAAAAAAATCGTCTTTGTGTGTCAAAAGGAAATTATCGTTATAATTTTGATATGCGATATCAAAAATCATTTCAAACATGGACTTAAAATTATCATCAATTTTCTTTCAATATACATATCATGGTTAGATATCTAACAATTTCTAAAAAATTTATATTCACACCACGGAATTTTTTCATAGACACATAATATAAACTAAAACGTTGTTGCCAATAAAATAATTCTTGTAGGTACACAATTAATGTAGGTACATTTGATATATTATGTCAATTATGATTTATTAGTGAAAATATTTTTTTTATTAAACACTATTTGGACTTCTTATTTTAGTAATGTATAGTACGAGTATAATGATTATTAAATAATGTCAAACGATTCAAATAGTAAATGAAAAAAAAATTTAGTAGGTACCTACCTATATTCAGTTATTGTTCACAATACTTCGCGAAAACATAGAATATGCATCTATAACATCTGACTTCAATTAATGGTAAATAAACCAATACATATTGAAGGTATGGTATACTTATATATTTTGATATGTTAAACATAATAATAAATAATAATATTATCATAAATGCTTGAGAGCTCAAAGGTTATGCCATCAAACGACTGACACCCATGTCTAATTGTCTAATGCACATAAGTACATATTATGTAGTCATTATTAAAGACATTATTTGTTATATAATACGCGCTGATATTGAATTACTATATTATTTGTCTTGAGACTACTTTGAATGTTTTGCATCTTAAGCTGTTCGTGTATTAAACAATATACCTTTATTAAATACATTATTATACACGCACAATTATATGCTATATAAATGTTACAACTTTTTTATTATTTCCTAATTTGTTCCGTCATTAATTTCAATTAACTTAAATACACGAATGAGTTTGACATAGTCATCGGACACAATAGACAACGAAATTTACATTGAGTAAACATCGTTTCATCCGTAAACCTTTAGACATTGTTTAGAAAATACGTTTCTGTATGCACATAACCTCACGGGTATATTTATTATTCTGTCATATTTCCATTGGACCGTTTATCACTTATCATATGGAATAACTGTAATTAGATCCCATGTTCAGAATCACGTTGTGATTATCTAACGATGCCATTGTTTCATAACTAATATTATGATTCTTACTTGACTTGATCGTTATATAAAAATATGTTTAATTCAAAATAACTTTTTATTATTATTTTGAAATTTAAACGAATAGTTATTTTCTTTAGGTGTAGTTATTAATATATTTTTTTTTTGATCTTAAGCATGGGCAGCTATGTGGCCATTAGCATTTTTTAGGGATTATGGTTAGTTGAGAAACATAAATATGTGGTGCGAAGATTCGTCCCTAATAATCCGGGTGATCACCCATCTGGTCACCCATCTGGAAACTAGCTACTCTGGCCTGTGCAGAACGCGTTAGTGACTGATGCCAACCACCTAGCCACGGCAGGCCCCAGCTATTAATTCAAGTACATCATTATAATTAATTACAATAATTATTACAAATCGTGTAAGATATATAGATCTCATCGTCTATACACAATCAGAAATTATACTTAGTTTTCCCAGTTTATGTTGCTATATACCTACCAATATATTATTATATTAACATCTTATAATATTCAGCTA